TGCCGGCCGCAGGCTGGAGCCCAGGGGCGTGGGGAGCGGCTGGGAGCACGTGCGCCCGCGGGGGGACCCGCGTCCAGGCTGCCTCCCGGAGTGTGAAGCCGCTGGGGGGACGCGGTGGGCTCCAGCCCTGGTTCTCTGGCGCTGTGACTTCGGTGCGCCGTTCTTCTCCCCCCACCCCCCGGCCTCAGTTTCCTCAGCTGTCAAAGAAGGACTTGGAATCCAGCATTGTGGTCTTCAGGGCCTGGCGCTGCCCCCTCCCCCCGGACGGTGTTTCTGTCTGCAGCCGGGCTGCCTGCCTTCATCTCAAGTCTGGTCACAGCTGCCGCCTCCCTCCGACTTGTCATTTACACAGTGCTCAAATTCAGGCCTTGACCGTTACTCATCAGCCTTGGTTATTGTGAGGATAACGGAGGGGGACACTTGTGAGGGCGTGGGAATCGATGTGAAAATGAGTGAGATAGTTTCCTAGGAGTGAATTCGGAGCATAGAGGCTTTTACTTTTAACAAAATCACTGGCTGGTTATTAAATGCAGGGAAGCAAAAGTGAAAGCAGGAAGATCAATGAAAGATTAGTGCAGTAATCAAGATTAGTAGAAGAAGAGGTGTAAATTGTTGCATTTCAGATAAGGTTTGAAGGTGAGGCCAACAATTCACTAAAGATTTTTAGATGTGGATTGTAAGAGAAAAAGGAGTGAAAATGGCTCCTAAGATTTTTAAAGTAAGCTTTACTGAGATAAACTGAGAAAAGCGGGCTCGGTGAAATGATGTTTACAATTGATCTAGGACATGTAACATTTGAAGGGTTTGATGGACTCTCAAAAATAGATGTCTTTTTTCATACAATATACAGAAATGGATTTAAAATATCCTATAGTTAGGCAGATGACCTAAAGATAATACTGAAACACAGTGAAAGGAAAACAGTTGATTGTCATCAAAACTACTTTTGTGTATCAAAAGATATACCAAGAGAGTAGAAAAGCATGAACGCGATGTTTGCAAATAATACAACTTGATAATGATCTAGTACCCAATATATAAAAATATGTATATTTATATAAAGACTTCTTACAGTTAAGGGGAAGATAACTTAGTGACTCACAGCACATGAAAAACTGCTCCACATCATTAGTTGTTAAGATAGTTCAAAATCAGAACCAAAAACAGAATTACCATATCACCCAGTAGTCCTTTAGGTGTACATCCAAAAGCATTGTAAACAGGTACTAATAGAAAAAACAAATGTATAGATATTCATAGCACTACTCTCAATAGTCAAAAGATGGAAATTGTCCAAATGTCTATTAACAGATAAATGGATAAACAAAATGTATGCTAATACAATAGAATGTTCTAAAAAAAATGAAGTATCAATATGTGCTACACCATGGATGAATCTCAGGCATTATTTATACTTAGTGAAAGAAATCAGATACAAAGGCTTCTATTTTATATAATTTAATTTATATGAAATATCCAGAATAGAGCAATCCATAGATAGATTGGTGGTTGCCTGGGGCTAGAAGAAAGGAGTAACAGGGAACACTGATTAAGGAATACAGGTCATTTCTGTCCATTTATAGTTGAGTGCCCTTTTCATCATCCTGGGGAGATGCATGGCCTATATCTACTCAGGCTGCGATCTGGAGGATTGCTGTTTAAAACAGTGTGGTTGGAAAAATCCACTAGACTCCATCTCTAACCAGCAAAAAAATGAATTAGAGGCATGGCTTAGGCAGTAGTGCAGCAGCTAAGCAAGCAGAGTGAGTTTGAGGCCCTGAGTTCAAACTACAGTACTAACCAAAACAAAAAGTTGAAAGTGTGGGATTTGGGTATCAACATAGTTCTTACTAGTTTGGGACCCTTTTTTGTGTACCTCTCTGGGTTTTGAACTCAGGGCCAAGGTTCTGTCCCTGAGATTCTTTTTCTCTAGGTTAGTGCTTTACCATTTGAGCCACAGGGCCATTTCCAACTTTTTTGAGTATCGGAGAGAAGAATCTCACAGACTTTCCTGCTTGAGCCGGCTTTGATCCACAATCTTCAGATCTTAGCCTCCTGGTATCTAGAATTATAGGTGTGAGCCACCAGCACCTGGCATAATGTGCCTTTTTAAAGTGAAGTATTATAAGGGTTAACTCAACTTAGGGCCATGCATGGAAGTCATTCATACCTAAAATTGGTCGTTGGTTACCAACCTATCCTAGGGTGGCTTGCCTAATAAAAAGTCCTGGTGGAAACATGTGGGCAACTTACTCATTCCCAAATCAGGTAAAAATTACTTGTGGAGCTAATTAATTGCACCCAGAGTAAGTTGGGCAATTGAAGCTCTTTTCCTCCTTAGGCAATTAATGCTACCTCAACCTTAAGAGTGAAGACTTCCAAGGTTCTTTTTTTTTCTTGGTGCTGGTCCTTTGGGCCTTGACACTGTCTCTGAGATTTTGTGCTTAAGGTCAGCACCCTACCACTTTTAGCCACAGCTCCATTTCTGGGTTTTTAGTAGTTTATTGGAAATAAGAGTCACAAACTTGCCTGCCCTGCTGATTTCAAACTGCAATCCTTAGATCTCAGCTCCTCAGGTGCTAGGATTACAGGCATGAGGCATGGTGTCCTGCTCTTCCAAGGTTCTTTGGTAGATTTAATCAAGATTATTTGAGATTTGTTCTGTCTTGTAAAATGACAAACAATAGACTTTATGGGGATTTATGAACATCTTTGTCTTAGTCCATGTGGGCTGCTGGAACAAAATAGCTTAGACAGGGTAATTTATCAATAACAGGACTTTAATTTCTCATAGTTTTGGATGCTGGGAATTCTGAAGCCAGGTCTTCGACACATTTGGTGTCTAGCCAGAGGATTTGTTCTTAGCTTCATAAAGTACCTTCTTGCTGTTTCCTCACATGGCAGAAGAGGAAACAAAATCTCTTGGGCCTTGTTTTTTGTTGTTTTTTTTTTGGCTGGTCCTAGAGCTTGAACTCTGGGCTTAGACACAGTCCTTGAGCTCTTTTGGCTCAAGACTATCACTCTACCACTTGAGCCACAGCACCACTTCTGGCTTTTTCTTTGATTAATTGGAGATAAGAGTCTCATGGACTTTCCTTCCCAGATTGGCTTTGAACTGAGATCCTCAGATCTCAGCCTCCTGAGTAGCTAGAATTACAGGCATGAGCCACTAGAGCCTGACATTTTGGCATCTTTTATACAAGTATTAAACCCATTTTAAAGGACTCTTCCCTTTTGACCTAGTCTCCCTGCAGATGTCCCACTTCCCAACACCATTGCACTGAGAATTAAGTCTCAACATGTGAGTTGGGAGGTGGGGAGACACATTCAGATCATAGCCGTTCCCAAGGCCCTTTAAGAGAATTTGCAGTGTCGAAGCTATTTTCATAACAGCACTGATGTTTTTTTTTTTTTAATGTGTGTCCTTTCAGGAATATATAGGGTGAGATTGGCTGGGGTGGGGGTGGGATAGAAACATTAAAGCATCATTGCTCAGATAATTTGAATATTGTGTTTTCTAGAGTTAAAAAATATATATGATCAGATCTGGTTTGTTTGGTAGACATTTTCTCAAAAATAAATGAAGTAAGCCTGTTGCTTTTTTTTTTTTTTTAGACAAGATCTTGTTATGTAGGCTGACGTAAACTCAGTCTTGCTTCTTCAACCACCAAATGCTGGGATTACAAGCAGTTCCACCATACCCAGCTAATAAGTTTATCACTTAAGGAAAATAACTAACATTGTAGAATTGAGGTGAAAATTACAATGTTGGAAAATTGATATATGCTATCACGAACTTGACAACTCTAATCCTAAATAATTTTCTGATGAAGTCATTGACAACATTGAATCTAATAATTTTTATGTTGTATGTAATGTTAACCATTGGATGGTTTGTATATTTTTAAGTCATTGTTTAAAATAATAATTTATGATGGTTTTTTTTTTTTTTGGTCAGTCAGGGGGCTGAACTCTGGGCCTGGGTGCTGTCCCTCAGCTCTTCAGCTCAAGGCTAGCCCCCTACCACTTGAGCCACAGTACCACTTCCAGCTTTTTTCTGTTTATGTGGTGCTGAGGAATCGAACCCAAGGCCTCATGCATGCGAGGCAAGCACTCTACCACTAAACCAACTTCCCAGACCTAATTTATGATTTTTATAGACACATGAATAGATAAAAGATCTGTTGAAACTGTAAGATAGAACAATGGAGTTTAATATAACCAAGTGTGAAAAGGCTGATTTTGATACTGTCATTTGTGTATTTTGGTGACTATCTAAAATTACATTATAAAGGGGAATATAAGTGTATGTTTATGTCTTCATTTTCTGCCATTTCTAGGGGCGTGAACTGAGGGTCTGGGTGCTGTCCTTAAGCCTTTTTTTTTTTTTTTTTTTTTAAGACTCGCTATCTACTCCTTGAGCCACAGCTCCACTTCTAACTTTTTGGTGGTTAATTTGACTTTCCTGTTTAGGCTGGCTTTGAAAAGCAATCCTCAGATCTCAGCTTCCTGAGTAATTAAGATTACAGGTGTAAGCCACTGGTGCCCTGTGGGAAATGTGCTTTAATAGTCTTAAACTGGCTGAAACTGTCAGGCTGGATTTATGGCAACTGAGTAAATACAAAAGCAGATATGAGAATCCCACTTTTTTTCTGTTAAGCTAGACTTTAAAGAGATTTGCAAAGATGAAAACTGTCATTTCTTGTTAGGCATTGTTTATTTTGAAAATGCATTTTTCATTAGAATATTATGTTAATGGACAGTGATGTTGCTTTTTTTTTGGTCAGTCATGGAGATTGAACTCAGGGCCTAGACACTGTCCTAGAGCTTTTGTGATCAAGGCCAGCACTCTACCACTTTGAGCCACAGCTCTACTTTTGTTTTTCTGGTGGTTAATTGGAGATAAGAATCTTAACAGCCTTTCCTGCTCTGGGCTTGCTTTGAACTACAATCCCTCCTGAGTAGCTAGGATTACAGGTGTGAGCCACTGGGGCTGGCCAATGTTGCTGTTGTTTAATGAATTAAATAAAAGATTGTTCAGGAGAGAGAGAGAGAGAGAGATTCAGGATATCACTCTACAAAAGGAAAAGGCTAGTCTAGAGTACATGGAACAGAGAATAACAAGGGAGAGACATGGGTAAAAATCTGAGAGATATGTAAGTGTGTACTCTATATATGTATATAAATAACACCCATACATGCATAGAAGAAAGTTACTTGTTGTCATAGGTCACTTAAATCTTATTGATGCAAAAACATACATACAATGGTCAGAAATCATAAATGTATATGAAGCACATTGGGTTTTCAATGACATGTGAATGAAATTTTTGAAAAACACTGTTAGCATCCCAACCTCCTTTTCATACCTCCATTGCCTTCCCAGTCATTATCCCACTACCCTCAATAGTGTGACTTCAAATACCTTATATTAGTTAAGTTTTGGAAGTAGGGAAAAGAATGAGGGGAATCTTGAATGTGACCTAGACCTCAGAAACTACTTTGTACCTACTCTCAGGTGTTAATTCTCCCTAATATATCTACTGTTCTATCACTATATTGAGGAGTCTCAAGATCAATCCCTATTTAGAAGTTCACTAGGACTCCAAGACTCCTTATCTAGTTGCAGTCAAAGCTAAGCTGTATCATAGCAATGTAGTAAAGTTACATATACCTGGATTGTCACGGGAGGGAATCAGGGACTTAAGAGATATTCATTATACACTCTACCTCCTGTCACACTTAGCCCATTTTTTCCTCAGCAATGAAAATGGAGCTGCCATTAGAGACCCAGAACCCCGGGTTTTTAATTGGGGCCTAGTCAGCTAGGCAGCTTCTGCCTAGCATGTACTAAAACTTCACATTCCCAGAAGGAAGCAGTTGTTCGATATTGTCTATACAGTCTAGGTACAGTGAGCTACCTTACCAGTTAGGAACTATTTTATGTCTGCGTAGGAAACCATGTACCATCCAAGTTCTCAGACATCTTCCAAAGGCCCTTAACAAAGAGGCCTTTCCAAGGATACCAATTTCAAGCCTCATGTGTTAGCTCTTTTTTTTTTTTTTTAGTATCTTTTAAAAAATATTTTTATTATCTTTAAGTAGTTGTACATGGGACTTCCATTCATGTGTTAACTCTTCAACTGAACAAAACCATTGCTTCATTTGGCTGTTCTTGAATTTCATATAATAAGAATCATAAAACATTTTCTCTTGGATTCTTCATTTTACGTATTTTTGAGCCCATAGGTAGTTTGTTATTTCCATGGCAGATAGGATTCCATTGAACACTACTACTTACCTTTTCTACTATGAGGGGCAAAGTGGATTTACCTCTACAACATTTACTATTATCTCTTCTGCACTGTAGTTATTCTTCTGGGTGTATAGTAATGTTTTGTTATGGTGTTAATTAGTATTTAGTTGATAAGAATGAGCTTTAAAATATTTTTCCCAAAAGACCATTTCAATGATCTTTTTATATTTTTAAGTACCTGTTCAGATTCTTTGCCCATTTTTATATTGAGTTGTCTAATTTATTTGTAGGAGTTTTTCATATATATATTTCAGATGAGTTCATCATTGGATGGATAGGTATAATGCAAATATCTTCCCTTTTTAAGTTTAAATAGTTGTTTTGTTTCTGCTTAAGGTTGGTGCTGTGTACCATTTGAGCTACAGTTCTATTTCTGGCAGACAATCTCTTGGATTTGTCTGCTTGAATTGGCTTTGAACTTTTAATTTCATATCTCAGCCTCCTGATTAACTAGGGTTATAGGCATGAGTCACCAGCACCCAGATGATACTGGTTTCTTTCAGTGAAGGAAAATTGCTGGTCTTTTCTGCACTGTCGTTTTTTTTTTTTTTTGTCGGTTGTGGGGCCTGAACTCTGG